GGTGTGCACCTAAAGTTATAGGAAACCTACATTTAGGATTAGGTGAATGGGCTTTCACTTAAGATGTGTTCCTAAAAGTCTAGAAGTCTATGTTTTAATTTGTGTTTAAAGTGATTTAAGGTTTTCTATATTTTCCAATTAATTAAATCATCAATCCTCATTTTTATGACTTAACCATGGAACAAAAATAACAAAACAAACGAAAAGAGAATGTTGACCCACTTCCAAAACTAGTAAGGCAAAAAAACGGGGAAAACAATAAGTGAATCAGCCTCAAAACATTCAAACTTTTTCAAAATTGTAACTAAATCGGCTTTCAAGAAGAGCATTTAAATCTACTCCAAGACAGTGTTTTGGTCGGCCCAAAACAACAATTAAATATTTCAAATCAGCATGTAAATCATTGCTTAAATGATGCCCAAAACCTTTCCAAAACGGTGCATAAACAACCCCGAAATGATGCTTTTAACGCCTCCAAAACAGCATTAAAACAGTGTCAAAATGGTGTTCATAATATGCCTTTGATGTCTCCAAAGCAGTGAATAAAACAATCCCAAAACATCTCAAAACAATGTGCGTTTAAATTGTGACCAAACCTCTCTAAAATGTTCAAAGAGTTGCAGCGAAACCAGTCAAGACTAGTCCCAAAACAGTGACAAAACCTTCATAAAAGTGTACATTTAAAGCTCCAAAAACTGCAACAAAATTAGCCCAAAACAGTCCCCAAAACATCATTTTATTATCCTCCAAACTGCATTAAAACAGCAAGTAAATCCCCCCAAAATCAACATTTAAATGGGGCACAAAGCCCCTCAAGAACAGTAAATGAATCAACATCCGTGCGGCATATAAAGCCTCTGAAACCAACAATTTATAGTATTCAAACGGTGAAAAAGTCAAGGCAACACAGTAAAAATGACAACTTAGAACGATATCCCGATTATTCTTCAAAACAACGATAATACCGAGAATCCGGTCAAGAAGAATCGAATAAAGATTTGCATGCAATCCCCACAATTCCTATGCGTTAACATATCTCAAAACTAAACTTCAATTCTTACATTTATACCACCCAAATCTTTCATATTACATCCAAATATCATGATTCTATCCTTAAAAAGTTGAAATACACATTTTCATGTAAATGCACAAAGATTGAATGGTATGCATGTAAATATGGTTGTTTAGGTGCTAGGAATGTAAATACCTAAGAATTGTGTGGTATGTGTGTAAGAATTAAAGTCTAGGTGTTAGATGAGTGGTAAGTATGTAAATATTCCAGGCAATTGAGTAGTAATTATGTAAATGTTCCATCAATAAACATCAGCATTGCTCTATACTTTCCCTCTATTGACATGAAACATAATTATGGTAAAACTATAAATAAAAGAAAATCATAATTAAATGGAATAAGCATTGCCTGAAAAATTCTTTACCCAACTGATGTTGTTCTGCTTCAAAAGGCTCAACTTCGGCTCAGCGGTTGCCAGGTACCCGGACATAAGAAGATTTTCAAGCAGCAATCAACCC